CCTTCAAGTGTGTCCACCTTGCCCCACATTACAGTGTCATCAGCAAACTTGGACAGCGTGCTTTCCACCCCCTCGTCCAAGTTGCTGATGAAGATGTTAAACAATGCGGGCCCAAGGACTGAGCCCTGGGGTACCCCACTGCTCACATCACCAGGTTGAGTACAACCCGTCCACCACTACTGTCTGGGTGCGCCCCATCAGCCAATTTTTTACACATCCAACTGGCCTAAGTGTAATTCCTGGCTATTTTATACCTGCTTGTCCTTGTGCCAACATTTTCCCGTAGCTTAAATGGTTCTCCCTCTCTGGTGTTTACCCATCCAATTCACGTGTAGGAGAGTAATCAGATCCTCTCTCAGCTTTCGTTTCGCTGTGCTAAACAAGCTAGCCAGCTGTTGCAATCTCCCATAAAATATCGCTAGGTCATTCATTCCCTTGATATAGCCCCTCTGTACAAATGTTCAAGTTTGAATTGGTCTTTCTTAACCACAGGTTCACAGAGTTGTGTGCAGCTTGCCAGAAAACTGCCTGTGTAATGACACTGATATTTCCACATCTGTACTGGCAATACCTCACCTGATAAATCTCATGAACCCCCAGCTAATGGCAGTTACTCTTGTTAGTCTCTAACTGTATGACTTTACTTTTTGTACTGTTAGTGCACTTATACGTGTGACAGAGCTCTGCTCTGATGCATGCTAATTAATCAAGTATTCTGCGAGTCTGTTGGAGCGTGCTAATTAGCATGCTCCAGCAGCCTGTGCGTTATGTGTATTCAGCATCACCAAGTTTCAAAAATGGCGACGGGGCGCTTTAATTAACTCTTGTCAAATGAGCTTTAGTCAAAGCACTCCCATCACCATTTTGGAATGTGGGACACTGAATTCATGTGATGCTTATCTCGGAGCTGCTCTAATTAAAGTGCCCCCCCCTCCACACCAGACCATGTGTATAGAGGCCCTTAAATTTCCTTCTGTTTCCATTACCTCAGGATATTCAGTTCTTCCTGATACTCCAGTCTGCTCAGTACTGAAAGTGCTTCAACTGTATTACCATACTCATTTTTGTGTCAAGGTTATTAATGAAAAGAGTAAATAGGTTCATCCCAAGACTAGTCCACAGGGAGCTGCACTATTAATTTCATTCCGTCACAATAGTTATTTCACTATATCCTGTCTGTTGTCGTTCCTTTAGTCATTCCTATTCCTGCCATCCATTTTATTATACTAGTACGCATTTTCTCCAGTTGAAGTGATTCCTTATAGCAATACGCTTACCTTTCATAAATTACAGTGGCTGTCACTAAATAAAAAAACCCCAAGATACTTAATTTTTAAAATTATTTAAATATTTAAACAACCATCATAATTTGGACCATAAGTAATGTTGAGTTCTGTTTTAAGTAATGTTTAAATCTGTGTGCCTGCCTTCTTTCCATAATCTCATCCATTTACATTTCCTTCAGAACAGTTATAGGAAGGATGGAAGAAATAAAGGACATGACAAGATTAAGATGACTGCATTGTCCTATTAGCTATGTTTTATCATTGTTTGAGGAAAAGAGATTTTACAGTTTGTTCTTGTAGTTCCCATAATCCAACTGACATAGGCCTTAATAGATCCTATTCATTAATCTTTAGTTCCCTTAATATTTTCTATAATCAGTACTCTTCTTTGTCTTTCCAGATGGAACACTTCTGGTTTACAACTGCATTGTTCTTTTTTCTGTCATGCTGTATTCATTCATGGCTTTTCAATTAGACCTTGTATAATTGTGTTCCATATAAAATCTTTATTTTCTTTTTAATGTAAATCTTAGACTTCTGTTGATACAAAGCATTCCTAATAACATGCATTATTCTTTCCAGTATTCAGTAAGCATCAGCTCTAAGAGAGCATGTTGTTTCCTTAGCTTTTTGGGGACAGTTCATTTACACATGCTGTAATTAATGAAAAAAACCCAGTCATTCCTTACTTCAGTGAGGTATAATAGCCTCATAGCTCATAGTAATAAGGGTTCATATTGAAGATTTCATTACTTTTATTAACATGTTATGAAGTATCATCAATAAATTATTTTTAATGAAAATTGGCAAATAAATGTATTCTTTGGGAAGCCGAGCCTTGCTTTTTTATTCATATAATGGCTGTATCTGAGTAGTTGAGGTGTGAGCCAATATGATCTTAAAATGTGCTGGATGCTTGTTCGATGTATAAATCTTATCACTGCTCTGCAGTCTTCCTGCCCAGCTAGGTCAGGAACTATATATGCCATGCATTTTATATGTAACCCATATAGGCATGTGCAAAATTACCAGCTCCTTCCAACTGTCTGTTCCTGTCTCTTATACTTTCTTGTTTTCTATCAGTGATGTCAGCTGTAACTATAGCTTGCCTTCCCTTTTCTGTGTTTTTGTGCCTTTTTTCTACATAAAGTAGAGGTGACTAAACCACAGCTCACAAGTTACATGCAGCTTTCAAGCTATTTGAATGCAGCCCTCAGAAAAGTAATTAGATGAAAACTTGGTTTTGCTCTCTGTTCATTTATTATTTTATGCTTTTGATTTTCTTCAGTCCTTGCTTATCCCTTATTCTAGGAAGTTATGCAAGGAGAACTTATTTTAGCTGTGGAACATGTACCATATTTACGTGAATCCAAGATGATTTTGAATAGAAGATGCCCGCCATAATTACATTTTATACATGGAAAATGTGTAAACTTATTAATTTTCCATGTATAATATCTTAAACTTGTGTCTACCCTCCTTCTCTCCCTGCTGCAGTGGAGCAAGCAGCAGCATGGGGGCAGATGGTAGGGGAATCAAGTGGCCTGGCTCCTTCCCCCTGCCACCTTCCCTTCCCCCAGCTGACTGTACCTCCTGGCATCTGCCATTCCCACCAGTTGTCGTCGCCCCCCCCAATCTGCCCCCTGTGATGTCTGTCCGCCCCCCTCTCCTCCCTCCTGCTTACCCTTCAGTTCTGGCCCTGCTCCAGTCTAGAGCATGGAGCACATGGTCACTCTGGCCCCTGCCTGACCAGGCAGCGGTGGTAGCTTGGGGCCTGCTATGTGTTGTGGTGCAGGCTGGACTCAACCATGTGCTCCTATACTGAGTTCGAGGGTAAGTGGTAGTGGAGGTAGGGGGGAGGGGGCAGGCTGCTAAATGTGGCCAGGAAGGTGAGGGTAAGGGGGCAGGCTGCTAAATGTGGCCAGGAAGGGGAGGGTCGGGGTGGGGTAGGCAGTGGAGTGTGACCAGGAGGGCGGGAGGAAGCAGAGGTGGTGGAAGATGGGTAGCAGCTGCAGCTTCAGCTCCAACCCCGAGCCCAGGTTGGGGCTGGAGTCAAAGCCACAGCCTGATTGCTCCCCACCATCTTCCCCCAATGTACTCAAATCCAAGATGAGCAGCTTTTTCCTAGAATTTTAAATGAGTGAGGGGAAACCTCGTCTTGGATTTGTGTAAATATGGTATACCTCAAAAGCTTTATTTTTGCTGCTCTTAGCTGTGGTGTGACTTGTATCTGGAACAGTGAGGAGGCATTTTCCCTTTGAACTTGAGACACTGGGAGCCTGAATTTTCAGACCACTTATCTGTTACAAGAATTTCTATGGTTAAGAAATCTCCAGATGACTTGTTACAGTTATAAGTGGCCAGCCTTCTGCAAAACTGAGGAAAACACTATTAGAGACTAACTATGAAAATATTGTATATGGTTGCCCAGCAAGCCATAGGCATGCTGTTGCAAAGGCAGGGGTAGAATCTAGGTCCCAGGTAAATGTTATTTTTGTCGTGCTACAAAATCTATAAACTCTCTTGACTGGAGCACATAAAAGGTGCCACAGACACTCTCCAGTAGGGCTGTGTGAAATTTCACTTGTCTGTTTCATTTCAACACTGTTTTGACTCGTTTTGAGCTGGAAACAGCAAAATTAAAATGAAATGAAGGGTTTCAAAACAGCTTTGGAACGAAACGAGGGCAGTCAAAACATTTAAAAAATTTTGAAACATTTCGAGTTTCAAAGCTGAAGCTGGGCTTGCCTGCAGGGAAACAGAAAATAAGGAGAGGGAGGGGATAGAGGGGGGGAAAGACTGCTCTGACATTGACTGTGTAGTTGGCCAGTGACTGAGATCCTTCCCTGATGTCCCTTCCACATTCCAGGGCTCTGGGGGAGGGCGGAAAAACAGCATAAATAGCAACATTATTTGAACTGGCCTGCTTCCTGCCTTGGGGTCTGACAGTTGCTGAGCTACCTTCCAGAAGCTCAGGAGCGTTAGATAACAACGGCTACTACTACCATTGATTTAATTTCCTACTTGCTAGCCTAGCAAGTGGGATTCTGCAATACCTTTTGCTCTCTCTAGACCCTATTATTTTATTATTATATTGATTTATTCTTTTCAATTTCATAATTATATCGGATATTATACTACAGAATTTATATAGGAAGGCACATACATTTAAATGTTTTTATTTTTATACACATATCTTGCAGCATATTATAATATAGAATTTATATAGGAAAGCACATATACATTTATATATTTTTATAAAGGCAAGACGCTATGAAGCACACCATGAAGTGCGGTGGAAAGGCAGCTGGCTAGCCTTCAGGGAGGGGCGGAAGAGAGGGTAGAGGGAGAAGTGCAAGTCCTATCCCCCCCAAACTGAGAGACAGCCTCTTTTCTACAACTAGTAGACATGAGGCTTCCAGTTCTACAGGCAGCAAGGAGAGGGGAGCAGTGCCAGTGCCACTGCCTGTGCCTGAGTCTGCATCCCCTCCAAGAGCACAAGCTATAACCCCTCCCCCCACCACCATGACAACAAGCAGCACCAGTATGACCGTCCCCTCCACCCTCATTTCACTTCCCATCCTTAGCCTTCCAGTGCTAGAGGAAGAGCTGGAGCTGGAGCTGGATCTGGATCTGAGTGCCATAGCAAGGGAAATGCTGGGCAAGGAGGGGGAATCATCTGAGTTTGTGTTCTAAACCTCTCAAGTTTCCCCCAGAGCCAGGTCTCCTTCCCCAGAAGGCACTTCAGAGGAGCTTGAGGTGGAGGTTGTGGAGGCAAGTGGCTCAGCTAAGTCTGCTCCTCTTGTTGTGCCTCTGCTGAGGAGGGGGAAAAGGCAGCTTCCGCACGTGCACCTGCACTCCAGAAGTGAATGGGTAGTATGGCCTGGGATCATTTTGAGCTGGCAGATGATTCCACATATGCTATCTGCCTGCACTGCTGAGCCAAAACCAGCTGGGGCAAGTGAACAAAACACATGAGCACCACGGGGATGCTGATGCATCTCCACAGGCACCACCCCCTTGCCCTTGCTCCTCCTCAGCCTGGCACCAGTGCAAGCATGCCCAAAGGGAAGCCCCCCTCGCTCCAAAGCCGCCATTCCCCCAAAGCAGAGGCAAGCCACCCTGGAACAGTGGGGAAAAGATGGACAGAGAGGGGGACGTGTTGCAAGGGTGAGCAAGAACATCCAGAGCATTAGGGCGATGCTTGATGTGGATGACCAGCCCTTCTCCTTAGCTGTGTGTCCAGGATTCAGGTGGCTCATGACCCCATCCTACCAAGTGCCTGCATGCACCACCTTCAGCAGG